TTGGTTAGCCTGTATGTAGCAAGACTCCCTTAACTGAATCTGAGGACTGTGTGTTGTTTTTAATCCTCAGCTTTGAATATTTTACCAGAGACTCAGTTATCACCCAGTTTGTGTTTTGGCAGTGCGAAATGTAACTAGGCAGTTTGTTAGCTTTTTAATTAAAACAGACACTTAACTCGTGGTATGTCTTCCTTTTTTATAATCAGTATTCCCATGTGGGGAAAATGATTCATACTACTTGCATGTGAAAAAGTAACTTAACCGTTAACGTTGAAATGTGTGGCAAGACCCAGACAGCCTCCCTCATGAGTGCGAGGTACTTCAATAAATTGAAAGTGACATGGTAGGTAGTACATGGTTTGCTTTTGTGGCCTGATGTGTTTCTCTTCGCTTCATAATTTGTGGGTTAAATGTATATGCATTTATATCTAAAAGAAATGTTTATAGGTGGTTGCTTATTTGAGACGGCTGATAGAATAGCACTAATCGACTTCTCTCTCTCGGCTGTCATTTAAATAGTTCCCTGGCACCACTCTAGTCATTAACTGGTGTACACAGGCACACAAAACTGCCATTTTCCCCAGCTCCCCCAGCAGAGGAGTGACATTTTTTTTTTGGCTTGACCTGGCTCACTATTTTTCGTTTTTTTCTTTTTAAAAAAATCCATATTTATACATACTCTGTGTTTTCACCACATTTACAAGCAGCTACTCTGGTTCAGGTTATCAGTGATAAAAGTGTGCCTTGACGTGAAATCCTCTATGCCATTTGACATTAATTCCTTTTACCAAGCAGCCCGAAACTAGGGTCCAGTCTGGTTCATCTGTTTACATTTTAAACAGATTTTAAAAACAGAAAAATAAAAAATAACACTGTATTTGGCGAAAGCCTAAAATGTTTGGTCCTTGACCTTTACAGAGATAATCTTGCTAACTTTTGGAATTGTTCTAATCCATAATTCCCTTTAATCCCAGGAAGTGGACCTGCTTTCTACCCATCTTGGTTTTAGTGGGGAAGGTAGCAGAGTTCCACCTTGTTCAGATTTCCACCCCTCTTGTCCATGGTCAGTAGAATCTTGCTCATCTCATAACCTCGCTTGTTTGCCAGCACCACCATGTGAAGATTTTTCTTTTTCTAAAGCTCAGTATATGTCCAGGTAGAGAGGAACCAACCTCATGAATGTTCACCGTACAAAATTACTGTGCTTCAAAACATAGTATCTCTCCCAAGGAACTGCTGGTGGTTTCAAACTTACTGACCATAAGGATTACAGCCAGGATGTAACCATTACACCACCAGGGCTCCTTAAACACAGAACCTTTATAGTCTAAAAGGTTTTTTTAGTGTTGAAACCCTTTCCCTTCCCACCATACTGGTGGTCTGTGGAGAGGGCTGGGCGGATGAGAGGAGCAATTTACAACTGGAGTCCTGAGTACGTTTTCTTATTGTTGCTAAAAATCGCTGTGCAGAGGAGGAATGGGATGTGCCTATCTAAATTTGACTGGTTTTTGTTGCTGTTGAGACTGCACAGCAGAACATACACATTAACAGTCCTCTGTGGACAACTGATTGATGGGGAGTACATTCTTCAGTGTGTACTCTGACCCCACAACATAAACTCATTGTCCCCTTTTTCCCATCTGAAATGCTCTTGTCAGTGTGATCCCAGACACAGCACAGCACCTGAGGCAGAGACGCTTTTACTAGTTTAGCTAGCTTGTTCTAAGAACATGGCAGGTTTATGGTTATATTAGGATTAGTTTTGGGGTTTTTTCCCCCCAAGCCTCTTAGAAAATGTGGATAGAAGTGCATACTTCATTCAAGTGTGTGGTTTAGTAGTAGTTGAGGGCATGCCCCTTGTTTGTCACAGGACTGAGCTGTTGGGCCACCTCTGCAGCATAAACGTCATGCTACCCTAGCTGCTGAGCTATCAGTGGGCATGAGCATTGTCAGTGGCATTTGTGCCATTGAAAGTGCTCTGGTGCCATTATTTCCAAGGCGGGATTTAGTTTGAGCGTA